GTTTACCACGTGGTCTGTAGTCGGGCTTATCACAAATGGTGTCCCCTATATCTCTAATGAGCTCTTGTTACGAAAATGTAGCTTAACGGTTGTATAATAACTTCACTTACAATGACACTATGCACCTTTCAAATAACTTAAATCACACAAACAAGGCCCATCGCAGATATATCAATCCTATTAAACACATGCATTATTTACATGAAATATCACATTTTTAAAACTGATGACTCAAAATAGAGATGTTGTAACAGACAGTCTGTTCCAAAAGCCTCCTCAGGTTTTCATGCTTGTTCTTCCAACTGTGCCTGAGTAACTGTGCTGTAGTACAACGCTCGGTCCAGCTGGTGGCGCTAATACTAACTTCAGTGGCTCCCGCATTGTGCGAGCTTCCTGTTTACATTCTGATGCTGTAGCTAACAGCTACTGTAGCAGCTACTGTAGCTAACAGCTAGCGGGGAACACGTTGTTTGTATCAGAGCAATGAGAGCATTGTGTGAGACGTGTCTTTCCCCAAAGTGCAGCGGCTCAGTGGGACACGAGTGTGTGTTCTGGCGATTTAAATAAAGTCTGATTCTTGACCGTTTGAAGTGTTATTGCAACAGCACCAACTGTGAGAGCGCGCATCAGGCCAGAGGGAGCCTGTTAGCATTAGGTTAGCTTCAAAATGACTGTTCAACACCATAGACCCGCGGTTAGCGCGTTAGCGCTGTAGTTCTGCGATGGAGAAAATAAAAAATCGAATTTTAAAAGAAAAGAAATCGCCCTAAATGTAAAACTCGAATTTAATGATTAAAATCGATTAATTGCCCAGCCCTAACTGAAGCCATGAGTTTTGTGAAGCGACCACTCACTTGAGAACGGACCAAAATCTGTCACCTTATGTTTTGTTTTTAAACACAGGATTTGTTGTAATCATCCAGAATTTTAACTGTTACACCACAGATTGTTAGCGTATATTACGGGAATTCAGCATGAATTATCTCTAAAAAGTGCCAATTGCAATTTGTTCTTGTTCAAACTTACATGAGCGGCCGCTTTGGTGACGAATGTGAACCCGGGTTTGGTCAGTCGCTCGTGTTTCCTCCACGCCCGCCTCTGCCGTCCTCTGGCCCCGTGTGAGCCTCTGCCTTTAACGCCTCCTCCGGTAACAGTCCTTCGACCCATGTCGAGCACACAGTCTTTCCGCCGGGCTGTGGAAGTTTAGGAGGCCCAGGTAGCCCAAAGCGTTAGCCTGTGGTCCATGAGGGTTGGTGAATACCCAAACGTGCCGGTCTCAATGGCTTCTTCTGTTTGCGGTGCGGGAACAACTTTCAAGGGGGTTTCCGCGGGTGCGTTTGGTATATCACGCTGCCCCCTCCGTGGAGAACAGTCACGGGATTTGGAGCAGTTTCTCTCTGTGCTCCAAAGCAGTTGTCGGTGTCTCACATATTTGCTTCCCCCGCTTCTTCTTCTGCGGTTTCCTGAGCGTGTGTCTGCTTCCGCCACTTCTTCTTCTGCGGTTTCCTGAGCGTGTGTCTGCTTCCGCCACTTCTTCTTCTGCGGTTTGGGCCCACTTCTCGCGGGGTCTCAGCTGGTGCGGGCGCCGCCTGTGGTTGGGGCGTGGGGCTGGTGCTGGGGCTTTGAGGCAGAGGACAGAGCGCGGAGGAAAGGCGCCGACAGACCTGGATAGGGAGAGGAAAAGGAGACAACAGTAGTCTGCTTCATTTTTTTAAAACCCAACGCCTTGTTTGGGCGCGTACTTAGCATGGAGTTCTGCTCCTAGTGTGAAAGGGTTAGTAGGTGAGAGAGGGCGGTAGGGTGGGGGTGTGGGGGATGTGTATGTGTGTGTGTGTGTGCGCCTGTGTGTTCTCCGCTTCGGCGAAAGGCGGAGGAGCTATTGTTTTTACATATTTCTTTCTCTAACCTCTTTTGCCGTGATATTCTTAAAACCAAGTATATTTTTTCTTCCCTTCTTCTTCTAAATTTATCACGCAAGATGCGTAAATGATTCGGAGACATATGGCCTCCATCGGAAAAAAAAAAACCAGATGCCCTGCACCATAGGCAAGCCCTTCATAGCTTGCATCTCTAGATTGATTTTACCCATTTTCTCGTACGAACAATGGGCCTAACCCGCTTAGTCTCTTCCCTGCTCCTACCCACTTTGGGGCGCTCCGTTCCCCCCCCCGCTGGTTCAACCAGCGAGCGCGCGTTCTTGAAAACGGAGCGGGCCTGGCTGAAGGCACTTGGAGAAATTATCAGGGTCGCCTACAGGGCGATACTAACGCGCAGCCGCTAGCTTCAATCTAGAACAAAAGCCCCCAAAAAATCCCGCACACAGACTATGCTGTGGCAATGAATGAAATACCCCAAAAATACATAAATAAACAAATCCCCGTGTACACTTAAGTTTGCCCTGGGCTCGTTTACGCAGATGAAAAGACAAAACTCACCAGATTAGGTTCTTTTTGGTCTTGTGTGGCAAAAAGACTCCTTCCATGCGCGGGACGAGCGCGCCCTCCTTTGTCTCCAAAAAGGAACAGAGGCTGGTGATCCAGGTCGGCCAAACAAAGCCGCTCGTCCCCGCCGAAAGTATCCATGCCAAGACATGTCAGCAACGCCAAATTGTCGTAGAATTATATACCCCATGAAGGAGAAAACTCAAAGGTCCTTTGTCTGATCAAAAGCGTAAGTTTATTGTTAACACACGTGCGGAGAGCCAGCACATACACACAAAGGCAGCATGTACCAGCTCTGAGCGCAGAGCTCCGAGTTTCCTGTATACAGGACACACACGAAAGACAGTCACGCCCACAACAGATGGGAGGGGGCCACCGGTGGGGAGGCGCACAGGAAGCGCCGGCGCCATCCCCTGTGGTGACAGTGGCATGGGGGTGTGAACAGACAGACAATGGTAGAAAATGCACACATACAGATTGCAAGACGCGAAAGACACAAGGGTGTTCTGCTAAGACACAAACGGAGTGGCATTGATTTTAAATCATAAAAAATTTACTTGAAAATTATTTTTTTTTAAATCACCATAGAGTCTTAACTTATAAGTATTCAAAAATAAAAAATATGGTTTTTATGATGAGGAAATGTCAGTAAAGCAATTTGGCAAAACGTGATGAAAAGGAGAACTGCATTAAAAACTATATACAACTTAGAAGTCTGAAACTTTAGACAGTTGTGGTCAACAACACAATGACCATTGGTTTGAATATTGTGAACTTACACTGAAGTATGCCTTTTTCTAGGGACTTTTTAGAAATGGGAAAATTTTAGGCGCGGATAAGGTTTCATTTCATCTCTCAGTTCTAAATGATAATTCCCTGGAGCATCATTTCCACTGACAAATAGTAAGCCCACCACTTCTTTGAAAGGGAAATATTGAAGCCAATTCTCCAGATTTTATGCTGTAAACTATAAAAGAGTGATGTCTTGTTCATGGGTCTTTGAAAAATAATACAATGCCATATGGCCGCTTACCAGTGCGAAATCATTATCTTAATCTGGATCAGGGAATTTATTTATATCCCAAATTAATTCCATACTAAAGATATATTTCACATTTATGTTTATAGTATTCCCTGATCTCAAATAACTCCCCAAGCTACAGCCTTTTTGAAGTCTTTATACAATAAATTAACATTTTCAATAATGGCCGCCCACATTGATGACGTCAAAATATGCATAATTAGATGACGAATCAACTTCCATCCCAAGATGGTTAGACGAAGATATTTTAATTTACAGATGCCTTTATCTTAAATTATTTTAATGTTATAGCTTTTGGAATTCCATCCCAGTCCATCCAATCCATTTTCTTCCCCTTAATCAATTTCTGGGTCGGGGGGTGGCAGGTTAGAGCCTGCACCCAGTACAAGAGCACCAGACCCTCACTGATACCTCCTGCAGGTGGTGAGGTCCACAGGAGCTGAGATCTTCATCTTGAAATCTTGAAATCAAAAATAGTATTTTTTCTTGAAAAAACTCTGGAACTAAAGGGTTAGAGACGTTATTTATGAGACTAAAGTTTGGAACTCGCTCTAAACATGTGTTATTTTGAATTATGAGACTAAAGTAAGACCGCCAGCTTTAAAAAATTGTTATGAGAATAAAATTCCGACCCGAGCTTTTAAAATGTTAACTAACCCAATCCCGTTGATTAGTCCAAACCTATGGCAATGGTCCGTTTGGGCCACGTGACTCGCGTCTCTCCCCCCATGAAAAGTGGACTTGCCGAACTTGCCTGCTTATGATGAAAACTGTATCTGTCACATCTTATTATTTCCAAATAAAATATGAATATAAAAAAAAAAAAAAAAACCTCCGTCTATCAGCAAGGGCATTGAGGATTAAATGTGGCCGGGTCTTTCAGCACAATGACGCCTAATACAGACGCCCGGCAACGAATAAAGCAGAAGAAAATATGGTGACATACCATCATCTTATTTGAAGTTGGGAATGCTGATTCTGCAACCCATAATCACATGTTCAAGTCAGGGCTCGAGCTGCCTCGTTTTGAATATAAATATGAAATATATATAACATGTTTGGGAAGCCTAGTGAGCAGGCCTTCTTACAGTGCATCTGGAAAGTATTCACAACGCTTCACTTTTCCACATTTTGTTATGTTACAGCCTTATTCCAAAATTGATACAATTAATTTTTTTCCTCACAAGTCTACACACAACACCCCGTAAGAAACATGTTTTTTTGAGATTCTTGCAAATCTATTAAACATTAAAAAAATGAAGGAACCACATGTACATAAGTATTCACAGCCTTTGTTGATGCACCTTTGGCCGCAATGACAGCCTCAAGTCTTTTTGACTATGATGCCACAAGCTTGGCACACCTGTCTTTGGGCAGTTTTGCCCATTCCTCTTTGTAGCACCTCTGAAGCTCCATCAAGTTGAATGGGGAGTGTCGGTGCACATCCATTTTCAGATCTCTCCAGAGATGTTCAATTGGATTCAAGTCTGGGCTCTGGCTGGGCCACTCCAGGACATTCACAGAGTTGTCCACTTCTTTGTTATCTTGGCTGTGTGCTTAGGGTCGTTGTCCTCTTGAAAGATGAACCGTTGCTCCAGTTTGAGGTCAAGAGCGCTCTGGAGCAGGTTTTCATCCATGATGTCTCTGTACATTGCTGCATTCATCTTTCCCTCTATCTTGACCAGTCTCTCAGTTCCTGCCGCTGAAAAACATCCCCACAGCATGATGCTACCACCACCATGCTTCACTGTAGGGATGGTATTGGCTTGGTGATGAGCAGTGCCTGGTTTCCTCCAAACATGACGCCTGGCATTCACGCCAAAGAGTTCAATCTTTGTCTCATCAGATCAGAGAAATGTTTTACTCGTGGTCTGAGAGTCCTTCAGGTGCCATATGGCAAACTACAAACTAAGGAGCGGCTTCCGTCTGGCCACTCCTACCATACAGGCGAGAATGCCCAAAAAAAAACCTAGAATGATATTTTTGGCTAAAAACTTAATGTAATCAATACTATGATATCATGATAGCCTAGTGTGGTAAACTGGAACACTTAAACCAAAACATTTGACTCTTAAAAGACATAACATGGAACCATCAACATCTCGCCTCATATTGCATTAAAAGTGACATCCGTGTCTTAATTCGTTCATATTTAAACTTTTTTTTAAATGCACGGACTTCATGTCCGCCATCTTGGATTGGCGGCGATCCTGATTGATGGAGGCCACTGTGCTTATTGGGACCTTCAAAGCAGCAGACATTTTTCTGTACCCTTCCCCAGACTTGTGCCTCGAGACAATCCTGTTTCGGAGGAATTCCTTTGACTTCATGCTTGGTTTGTGCTCTGACATGCACTATCAACTGTGGGGCCTTATATATACAGGTGTGTGCCTTTCCAAATCAAGTCAAATCAACTGCATTTACCACAGGTGGACTCCAATGAAGCAGTAGAAGCATCAAGGATTATGCGTGGAAACAGGATGCACCTGAGCTCAATTTTGAGCTTCATGGCAAAGGCTGTGAATACTTATGTACATGTGGTTTCTTAGTTTTTTTTATTTTAATACATTTGCAAGAATCTCAAAACTTTTTTCATGTCGTCATTATGGGGTGTTGTGTGTAGAATTGTGAGGGGAAAAATGAATTGAATCCATTTTGGAATAAGGCTGTAACATAACAAAATGTGAAAAAATTGAAGCGCTGTGAATACTTTCCGGATGCACTGTACTTACTGAAGACAAATGCATGAATAACATATCTCTATTTGAGTTGATTCAAATGCACCAGAAAAGTTTTGTTATTGTTTTTATGTAGTTGCTAGTTTACTTTTTACTCAAAATCCTATCATCCCATTGCCTGGCGACCTGACACGCAAACTGACGTGTCAGGGGACGGGATGAAGGCGTTGACCTGACGTGGTACAGAATGGAGAGTTATATGAGAGTCAGCATCTTCCGTCTCTCTAATGATGGAGACACTGGAGGGAGAACTCTGCATTCCACATCTCAACAACTCCTGCAGAAAGAACCCGGGTAGTATACTCGAGCTCAATCTTGCAAATGTTCTTCTCGCTCTACTGTCCACTTTCATTGCTGCTCTTAACTTGCTCGTCATCATTTCCATTTCTCACTTCAGGTAATTTATAATACAAAACAAAGACAAATGTATATTGATTGATTTAGTACTGTTTTAGGTTTGTTTGCTTTCTATTTTAAGAGGTGTTTACATCCAACAACTGGCTAGAATCCATTTGGTTTATAGGATAACACACAACTTGCACTTGTTTCTCATTAAAACTTGGTCCAATTAACATCGAAAGTAACAACTCGACCTTCATGTGCGCTGCAACATGTAGGTCGAGTTGTAATGTACTGTAACATTGAAATTTCCCGAATGCAGGGTTTAATACTGCATTAACACAATCAGCGTTTTCATATAAAGCAATACAAAATTGAATAATCTCCCAACTGAACTCAAAAATCAAACAAGTTACAATACTTTTACTTCTGCACTGAAAAAGTGGCTGTTGTGTCGCCAAGCCTGTCAGCATTGATTGAAGAATGTGTTTTAATATAGTTGTAAATATAGTTTACCCTAGGATATGTAAATGTAACTGATGCAGAATGCATGAAATGTATGTAGTCAATGGTAATGTGTTGTGTGGTTGATAGAGAACGGATGGATGCCCTTTCACACTGTATATTGTATTTTATTTTTCTGTAACCAGGGACTGCAGATTGAAAGTTGCTCGCGTCTCCCTTCACTAAAAATGAATGTTCTTTTTGCAGGCAACTCCACACCACCACAAACCTCATTCTCCTCTCACTTGCCGTCTCTGACTTTCTCATCGGCATCCTGGTCATACCGATTTTTGCCACAATATGGAAACTGTGCTGGTATTTTGGAGAAATTCTATGTGGCTTGGTCTATCTTGGGCCTATCACTGCAATAATGTCAACAGTGGGAACCGTGATTCTCATCTCTGTTGACCGCTACGTGGCTATTTGTGATCCGATGCATTATCCAACAAGAATGACTGAAAAGGTAGTTAATTTGAGTATTGCTGTGTGCTGGTTGTATGGGTTTTTGTTTGCATTTTCGCTTTACATTGACAATATCATTAATGGACATAAATATATCGTTTGCCAAGGAGAATGTGTGACTTTGCCCTCATCAAGAGAGGTGAACTTTGTGATGGCTGTGGTGATCCCAATTATAACTATTGTCTATCTTTATTCAAAAGTCTTTATCACAGCTGCGACTCAGGCCCGTGCCATTCGTTCTAATGTTACAACGGTGACATCCAAAACCACTAGAAAATCGGAATTCAAAGCGGCTAGGAATTTGGGCGTAGTCGTGCTTGTTTATTTCTTATGTTACACTCCATACTATTTTGTCGCTTTCTCGGATACAGACATGTTCATATTTGGTGTTCCGATGCAGCTTGTGGCAATTTACTTATACTTTACCAACTCTTTAATTAATCCTCTCATCTATACACTGCTCTATCCCTGGTTTAGAAAAGCCCTCCTGCTCATAATCACATTTCAGATATTCAGACCGGGGTCGAGTGACTTAAAGATTCTGTAGATTGTTATGCCCTTAGAAATATGCTCTTTTTATTTTTGAAAGATCAAATTAATAAGTGCTCTCTCTATATTTTGTGTAAGCTATTTGTGTTCATGTCTCTCCTCAATGAATTAATGTATTTTCATTTATTTCTGTGTAATTGTGCAACTTAAAATGTGAAACCAATATATCATATAGACTTATTACCTGCAAAGTGACATATGCCAAGTCTTTATTTCTTTTAATGTTGAAGATTATGGCTTACTCTCCATTTTCAAAATATTCAAATTATCTGAGATGTTTTATTCGGATGCGGACTAGGACTGGTCCAGGTCTAAAACTGGTCTAGTTTTACAAGCTGTGAGCCAATTATCAACATTTTACTAAATGAAGGTTTGATATATTTCACTTTCCGTGTGGTGAATTAGTGTCACGTTGAAAGTTGAATTACAGAAGTAAATGGACTTTTGAACAATATCATATTGTATTTATCTCTTGAAACATAGCTACTTATTCTACATCATATTAGATTGTTAAATTTATTTGGCTACTTTATTTTGTAATTGTGCAGTGCTTTGGAAATGGTGCACTTAAAAAATGTACTATAAAGTGTATTGGATTGAATGACACATTTATTATATTTTCATAATCTATAAACAACTCTTGCATCTTGTCCAGATTGTGACCATAATCATTTACAAATAATATTTCCGATGATGAATGGGTTGTATCTTTCCATGCTTAGAAAATAGAGACGGACTGTATTCTTCCTTGTGTTTATGGAAAGTTCTGTGAAAATAAAATATTTTACGTATACATTTTTTGTCACTTATTTTAGAGCAGGTATACATCATTACATGTATTTTTGTTTAGGTTAAACATTCATGCTTTTGCCTTACGAGTAAAAATATAGAAGCTTAATCACTCTGCCACAGTTGTTGCCATAGTAACTGTAACAGCTGGATAAAATAAACTGTCAATAAGGTGACAAGCCGTAGTGACTAATAGAGGAGCTAGAGGCCACAGATGTGAAACCAGCCTGCGCCCCTACTGAGCCCCATCCTTCGCAGAAAGGAAAAATGGAGCAGCATTCTTTCAACGGGTTCGGCCCCAAAGTAGTCCAAATGTCCCGCCAGCCTCAAACGAAGGAGTCCAACAAGGACAACACGTCAGTGTTGTCTACCAATTGCGCAATCAAAGAGAATATCCAATTTAATTTATAGACTGCACTGTGAGGGGCTCAATAAAATAAATAAATAGGTTGTGCTATTTTTGCACAACCCATTTACACAGACCATTTACCTACAGTATGGTCTGTGTAAATGTTAATGTTTCGTCTGCGTGTTAACAAAAGTTCCAATTTCTCTTTACAACGGTGGCTAAAGCAAAATATTGTTTTCAGACTTGTTAAATAATCCCTATACTTAAGCATATTTGGCCAGTTCAGTAAAGTCAATAAACATTTGTTACACACTTATATTCACGGGACAATGGTAAGCAGAATAAACAATTCGGAGCCTTAGAGTTCTACAGTTACATGCACTTCGCGACGGGCTCTGTGTTGCCGCTGCAGGTGCAAATCCTGGTGGTAGCAGTAAAAAAATAAAGACATGGACTTTGAAAGCAGGAGTGGAGAAGGGCTACATGAACAGCAGGAGCAGCAGTCATATTTGTGTCATGCCCATGAACATAAATGTTCCAAACCTCTGATGTGGAATAAGTTGGTGGATCTATGACTTATTAATTATATTTCTATTATTAGGTCTGGTTGTTCATGTCCACATTCACGCACAAAAGCCTTTCATTACAATCATAGCACCAAACTGTACATCTGCTGCTGCTGCAGCTACTACTGCTGCTAACCAAACATATCTCCCTCAGTTATGGAGCTTCGCGAAAGTTCACTGTGGTAGACCCGGCTGCCGCTGCCCAGGCCACAGGCTGCTCTTCCTCGACTCATCAATACCAGCAACGCCCACATCCAGTCAACCAATAACCACCAGGACAGCAAGTTAAAAGCCGGAGACGCCCACTCCCCGGCCTTCTGAAATCTGCAAGCCCTCGAAGCCTTGCAAAGAATCGTCTGGAGGAATCGTTTTCGTCTACTCACGCTACTCGGCGCGTCCCTGGCGTCCTCCGTCTGGCTGCTTGTGGTCTGCTCCTCCTCCGCGTCCCTGCACCTGCTGTGGTTCGCATGTCTCCACTGCTCTCCTCCTCTGCGGGCTCTTTCTGCGGGCTGCTCCGCGGGTTCTGTGCTGCTCGTTCCTCGCGGTCTGCTGGTGCCATGCGTGTCCCTGCCTCGATTGGCGGTGCCGCGTTGTCCCGTTGCTTTTCCCAAGTCTCCTGGCATGTGAGTACAGTGAGTGTGCTGACCGCGGTCGGATTAATCCCGGAGTTTTGGGCTGCAGGCGATTGGTTTTTGCCCCGCGCATTGGACTGCAGGCGTCAGTTTTTTCGCCCCGTGCTTGGTCTGCAGGCTCCGTTTTCGCATGTGTTTGAGCTAACTGAGGGGCAATGCATATTAAATGGCATCAATCTCTATCGTCTGAGGGATATAAGAGGAGCATGTGCATTAATTCAGATTCATGTTCTGCCACTTGCAGTAAAACCACGTTGGAAGCTTCATACTGCTTTGCTGCTGCTGATTCATTTACTTTAACATCTCTCTTCCCTTTACATCTCTCTTTCTGAAACACTAAACAGCTACAACAATTTCTACTGCTGTGGCCTTGATACAGGATTATTGCTGTTATTATCTAAGGATGCTGCAACTGCTGCTGTTGCTATTGGTACTGCTGCAACCACTGCTGCAACTACTGCTGCGCTACTGCTTCATTTACTTTGACGTCTCTTCACTTTACATCTCTCTTTTACTGCTGAGCGGTCAATCAAACTCCTATTCAAAGGCATCCGTACCCGTATTCGTCACTCTTCTGATTGCAGGCTCCCCATCCTGCCGCCCATCCTGCAGAAGCTCTGAGCGGCACTGAACTCCGGCTCATCTTCCAAGTACATGTCTGCCCTCCTCGCAGCATCTTCCTGCTCGCCTTCTATGGCTTCTCTGCATAGGCGTTTCACTACTGCTCACTCAACCTTCAATGCGGTCCGAGACACGGCTTTCCCGACCTATCCTACTGTCCTGATTATCTAATCTCCAATCCCAGATTCTAAGCGTAAGGGCGCCTGCAACATCACTGGCCCTCTTCGGTATGTCTCTCTGCCCCTACAGGTCTCCGCTTCTACACGGCCGCTGCCCCTTCCGTGGGTTTTGGGGGGTTCTCCCAGGACCAGTGGTTCGCCGGGCCGTGGCCCGCTACTTTTCCCCGGAGCATCTCCTCTGCCCTACACGAGACATTCCCAGTGGTCGCGGCCTCGCTGGGGCTCCCCCACTCTTCTCTACAACAGCTGGGGCGCTGGTCCTCTTCGGCTTTCTCCACCTACATCAGGCCAGATGCGACCGCTATCATGGCCGCACAACGTCTACCGGCTTCCTCGTAAGCTCCCAGCAAAGCAAGTAAGCAATAAGATTCTGGTGGCGGCACGCACTTTCCTCAAACGCGCATGTCTCAGCTCGCTCAAAGATTCCTCTGCTGCAGCGCCTGGCTGAACATGCGCATGCTCGCATGTTCTCAGTCGCTCAAAGATTTCCTTGTTTCAGCGTCTGGCAAATATGAGCGTGCATCTCATATTCCCAGCTCGCTCAAAGACTCCCCTGCGCTGCGTCTGGCTGAACATGCGCGTGCGCGCATGTTTCCAGTTCGCTCAAAGATTCTTCTGCTTCAGCGTCTGGCGAATATGAGCGTGCATCTCATATTCCCAGCTCGCTCAAAGACTCCCCTGCGCTGCGTCTGGCTGAACATGCGCGTGCGCGCATGTTCCCAGTTCGCTCAAAGATTCCTTGGCTTCAGCGTCGGGCGAATATGAGCGTGCATCTCATATTCCCAGCATATCCCAATTGCAGGCCCCCTATTGGGGATTATGCACGCGAGCAAGCGCCGTGCTCAACAGCATCCCTCCCGGGCTTGGGCGCCAAACATGCTCAATCAATAAACATGCTTAAATCTAATAAGTCTAACGGCATTTTCCTCATGGGTCTCTCCAAAGTGAACTATATCTAGATATCTTTCTACCTCAAATTTAGTACAGAAAAAACTTTTTTTTTATATTAAAAGACAGGAAACTAGCCTTGGCTAGACCTCTGCTCCACAGTCCTGGCCCCGTCTGACTCCCTGTCCAATACAGTCATTATAATACCTAACGCTGGAGTTCCTAACACGTATGTTTCTAACATAATACATTGTATTTTTCCAAAACAGAAAGATTCTTCTGTAGGTCAAATGTAAACAAATCTGAACACATGCTGTCTTCAACAACAGCGCCTCGCTATTTCGCAGATTTTTGTGCGTGCAATTCAAGATATGTTATTATGTTATTATAAGATGAGTGATACCTTTCATTGCAAGTTTATAGCTTGTGTTTACCGCAGTGATAAGTTCAGAGGACCAACACGGCCTTCTTGTAGCACTCAGTTCTTCTCCTGCCCCTCTGCATCTGTTTTTTATAAAATTAATATTTGTATATAAATATATTTATTATACTTTTGACAGTTGCAGCAGACTTACAACCAACAGGTTTGATAGCTGAGCAATCACACTTCAGCAATTGTGAGTTTAGGTGGTTAGAAAAGTATATACAATGTGTGGTGAGGAGTTTTCATTTAAACATTCAAAACAAAGGGCCAATCGAGCAAGCGTCTCTACCAGTTAACTGCCGCATTTAATCTGAAAATACATTTACTCAACCTGACGCTGGGTCATGGATGTCACTGTCCAGTCCACAAAGCCCTCCAAATCAAACCTAGCTCTATCAAATCCCCGTGAAATATTCTACAGGCCACAGGCAGGCCTGCACCGTGCCAAGCCAGGTCAAGATCCTTGCTTTTTCGCTATCTATGGGAGAATTCATGCTGCTTCTCAAGCTACTCTTGGACCTTTTGCCACGGGTCGGGCAAAAGGTCCAATTGTATGATTAAATTATCCAAAGTTTTAACATGAAATCTCAAATTCTCATAAGTCATGTAACTGTATCTGTATTGTTCCAGTGTTTAAAAGGAGACTGGAAAACATTCATGATATTGTGTTAAACAAAAACAATGGGAGCCTGAAAGTCCCTTTGTCCCATAGATTATTTTGCTTAGGCCATTATGTACACATGGACATATACGTATAGTGTGTGGTTCTATCAATTAGGCCACATTCACACTTCATCCTAATTCAGATTCTTTGCCCATTTGTGACCAGTGTCCAATTTGTTTTGTGAGGATAGAACAATTTTGATGATTTCAACTGTGACTGAATGTGAAGTGTTGGAACCCTTTTATATGTGGACATAAATCAGATATGTGTTCAATGTGAGGGTAATGTGGCATGTAAAGAGAGCTGCACATACAGCTGAACTCATGCTGCCCTCATCATGACCAGAAAATTAGACCGTTGAAATGTGCAGCTGTTTGAAGCTTAGTAGCTACCTCTTAAGCTCGAGAAACGAGAAAAAAAACCATCCGCTGGCAATAGCAGATGTATTTTGAACTTCATAAGCCACAAGCTATATATCATTTTAAAGCTTATTTTCTCATCTATATTTATATGTAAGTGTAAACGATATCATACTTTGCATTAAAAAGATATAACGCATAATATGGGCACAAAATAAATCATGTTTGTATAAGTTTTTTACCTTTTGTCTTCTGCTGCTCCTAGAAATTAGACTTTCCCCATCCCTGCTCGGTCTCTTTCTCTCTGTAAGTCTTCATTGAAAAAGAATATCCACTTGTATTTCCCAAAGTATAATCCATTCTTCAGAAATAATCCAAAAATGTGCATTTTTCTGTTAGGTTCCATGAAAAGATAGGAGCAGGTTTCAGTACGCAGGACCCTTGTGAAAAAGACAAACCGCATCCACTTGCAGAGGGTCCGTTTTGCCTTGTTGTTGATAAGCATGGCTAGCGCAATGAGCTAGCTCTTCTTCTTCTTCGGATAATTTCCGGCAGACTAGGTGCCTCTAGGCACATTGCTGCCTCTCTTGTCCAAGTCCAGCACTACAATACCATTACATCCACAATAGCCCGACGGCTGCAAGAAAGTCCACTCGCGCTCTTATAGCGAAGTCCTGGCCCTGTGCAGGGTTTAGCAGAGTCTGCAGAGTAACCTCACTCTGAGGGACGGACGCAACAGTTCGAAATAGCTCTGCTCGTTGAGATCTATACAGCAGACACTCAATAAAAACGTGTTTGACAGTTTGGTCTTGTTTGCAGTGTTGACATAATCCATCCGGGTGTTTCCCGATTTTGACTAAATCCCACCCAAGGCCACAGTGTCCCAACCTCAGCCTGGTCAGAATGACAGCGGCTCTCCTGTCTTTACCCGTATATACTGATACTGGTTTTACTGATGGATTTAAACCAAAGTAATGGCGACCCCTAAGGTCGCTTTCCCACATTTTCTGCCAGACAACTGAGGTGTTCCTCTTAATAGTTGACTTCCATTCAAGCACTCCTGGGACTACATAGACTTCTATCTCCCTCTTCAACGCCCATTTTGCAGCCATGTCAGCAGTCTCATTCCCATACACCCCCACATGTGATGGCACCCACAAGAATCCTACACTCCCCCCAGCTCTCTCCACTCTGAACAAGATAGCCAGCAGCTCTGCAATGAGGTCAGGCCTGGCATTAGCTCCACCACTCTCCAATGATTCCAGGACAGATGCTGAGTCTGAACATACTACGGTTTTCTCTTGCCTAGTTTGCTCTATCCATTGCAAGGCCGCAATTATTTCCATCAGTTCTGCAGTAAACACAGAGACATCAGGGAGTCTTTTGAATTGCAGGATGTCATACTCTGGGACATAAAATGCAACTCCAGTCTTTCTGGTCTCTGGATCTTTAGACCCATCTGTAAATTTGCAGAAATCCCTCCCATCTAGTACTTAGGGCCTGAGACACTGACCTCACGTAGTTGAAGCCTGCCTTGGCGAGACTCATCACAGTCATGTCTATCTCTGGCATGGGCAGAACCCAGGGAGGCACATCGGTCCATACCAAATGTGGAGCCACTCCTACATCACCCAGTCGCAGCCTCTCCATCTCTTTCCTCATCTTATACACAAAGGGTCCATACTTTGGCTTAGCACCCCATTCCCAAACTTCATCCAGCACCAGCTTGGCAGGATGACTACCAGGATAAGTTATTAGTTTCACCACATACTGCATAGCAAGCTTTGAGCGCCGGATTGATAGGGGACTTTCACCCATTTCAACAAGTAAGGCTGGAATTGGAGATGACCGCAGCGCTCCACAGCAAACCCTTAGTGCTTTTGCCTGTACACAATTTAAACGTCTGAGATGAGACACTGCTGCTGATCCATAACACATACTCCATAATCCAACCTTGACCTAACCATTGCCCTGAATATCATTAACTGTGTCTCCCTGGATGCCCCCCATGAACTACCTGAAAGTAAACGCAACACATTAATCACCTTTTCACATTTGTTTACAATACTCTCAATTTGTTTTTTCCACGTAAGCCTCTCATCAAAAATAACACCAAGAAATTTAAAAAACTTGACCCTCTCAATTGGCTGCCCATACATGTTCAAACCCTGATCTTTAACTGTTCTATTACCGAACACTACATATTTACTTTTATCAATAGAAATCTTAAAACCCCATGTCTGTCCCCAAACAACAATCTTATGCATGCTCTCTTGAACTTGAGCCATGGCATGATCTACATTGCGACCTGAAAAAAAAAAAAAATTGAAAACATTCAAAAGAAAACACAGATTTGTAACTTATAAGTACCAAAACTAAGAAATATGCTTTTTATGATGGTGAAATGTTAGTAAATCAATTCGGCACAATTTTGCCAAATCGTTTCCGAATGGCACTTGATAAACTGCATATACTTGATAAAAAAGTCTGAAACTTTACACAGTTGTTGTCAACAACACAGTGGACAAATTGGCGTTGAAAATTGCCTTTTTTAGGGCATTTGTACATTGATTTTTTTAGGCGAGGCTAAAAAAAACAGGTTTTTTTTCCCAAACTTCAAATGATGCAGAGTGAAATGGGAATGACATACCTTATTTCAGTGTATATTTACATAAACTGGAAGGGCTTAGCTTTAAAATGATGCATCACACAAGCATGTGATATGTAAGATGTGTTTTTAAATAAGCAAAGACATTTGGGTATGCCCAACTTTTGTGCACGAGCCAAAACAGATGTAGGAGTTTAAGAGGTTAAGAGAAAATGTTTGTAGCTGTCTGTCTCTGCTTTGTTCTTGTCACTTATTGTGGAGTTATTAGTTTTCTTCTTCTGCTTTGCCTCTGTCACTACATCCTCTAACACAGGGTTTCTCAAACTAGGCGCCCTCTAGGGGTACGCAAAAGAATCTGTGAAAAAAAAAATATATATATATATTTTATTTTTTATTTTATTTTACCAGGAAAGTCCCATTGAGATTAACTCATTGACAGCCATGGATGTCATTTGAGGACAACATTGTTTTTCACTGTTTGCGGACGATGTTGTCCTGTTGGCTCCAACGAACCAGGACCTGCAGCATGCACTGGGACGGTTTGCAGCCGAGTGTGAAGCGGCTGGGATGAGAATCAGCACCTCCAAATCCGAGGCCATGGTGCTCGACCGGAAAAAGGTGCCTTGCCCTCTGCAGGTGGGTGGAGAGGTCCTTCCTCAAGTGGAGGAGTTCAAGTATCTCGGGGTCTTGTTCACGAGTGAGGGAAGAATGGAGCATGAGATTGACAGGCGGATCGGTGCAGCGTGCGCAGTGATGCGGTCGCTGTATCGGACCGTTGTGGTAAAGAGGGAGCTGAGCCCAAAGGCAAAGCTCTCGATTTACCGGTCAATCTTCGTTCCCTCCCTCACCTATGGTCATGAGCTTTGGGTAATGACCGAAAGAACGAAATCGCGGATACAAGCGGTCGAAATGAGCTTCCTCCGCAGAGTGGCTGGGCGCTCCCTTAGAGATAGGGTGAGGAGCTCAGTCACACGGGAGGAGCTCGGTGTAGAGCCGCTGCTTCTCCACGTCGAGAGGAACCAGTTGAGGTGGCTCGGGCATCTGTTCCGGATGCCTCCTGGACGCCTCCCTGGGGAGGTGTTCCGGGCACGTCCCACCGGGAGGAGGCCCCGCGGAAGACCTAGGACACGCTGGAGGGACTATGTCTCTCAGCTGGCCTGGGAACGCCTTGGGGTCCCCCCGGACGAGCTGGAGGAAGTGTGTGTGGATAGGGAAGTCTGGGCGTCTCTGCTTAGACTGCTGCCCCCGCGACCCGGCAACGGATAAAGCGGAAGAAAATGGATGGATGGATGGCATTGTTTTTCAATATTTTCCTGTCAGTCTGTGTCCCCTGTATCGTACAGTCTGGGGTTTGGCTGTAGACAGTATTTTATTAAGCCAGCAGGTGGCAGCAGAACTCCCTGGTTTGGTCAAAGATCACTCTGAGCACTCTGAGCAGGAGAGACAGAGGTGAAGCAGACATGGAGTAATATAGTCAGGGTCAGGCTACATTTGGAGGCAGTTTGAGGAGTAAATGTGTCTCCAGAGCTGACAGAGACCATGTGGAGGGTCCTAGCAGCAGACCATGTGGAGGGTCAGGACAGCAGACCAGTGGAGCACCTCAAAAAAGCCACAGAAAAGTGGACTATTGCTAAAATTATCACTGAGTCCACACCAGGAGCCAGCAGCAAAGTCCAGATATGGTCACAGCGCACGCCGGACTAAACAGACGCTCTGTAGATGTAACCACACAAAAACACACAAACGCGTGCATAAACGCACATACATGCACGCCCAAACACACAAAGACACACAGCAGTATTCTGTTGCACTTATACTATAAGTATAAGTATTCACTTTGATTTATTGTCATGTATAGTGTTTATCATTGTAATTTTGTTATTCTTTGATTTACTCTTATTGACATAATTATAGTGCCACCTAATGGATGAATACTGGCCATTCTATCTGCCATAGTTTGTCATGGGCTCTACTTTCAATATGTACATTTTGACATTTTTTGGATGAGTACATTTTGAAATTTTTGAGCAACACTTTGTGGATGTGAGTGTGCCATAAAACTTATTATTTTACATTAAAAACACTTTCTCAAAACGTGTTGCTGTTTTCTAACATGTAAGATCCTGGACATGTTTGAGGAGATGCTAAAGTTAAACTAAATAGTTTTACAATCACTTCCAACACTTCCAACTTACAATCAAAACCTCATTTTCAAATTTTTTTGTCTAAGACTGGTGCTTTTTGTCACACTCTCCTCTTTTCGACTGGAGATCACAGGAGAACGAAACAAACTAAGAACAAACTTCTTTTTGCTGCTGAAAGTAGACAGTCCTGTCTTTCAGACTCTGGTTTCATATTTTTCATAGCACACAATATTCTGTGAGTCTTAAAAATCAGTGAAGTCATCAAAAAATGGCTGGCAGTCAATGAGAACCTTTTTTTTGTGTACAAAAATTACATAAAATTACAGATGATAAAACAGTCACATACAGATGATAAAATAGTCACATACAGATTATACAACAGTAACACACAATTTCATAAAATTACGGATTATAAAAACAGTTACATTTCACTGAAGATGTCTCAATCTGGATCTAAATGCATTCAAGGAAATAAGATCAGATCATTTCTAGTCTTTTTGCAACACGTTCCATGTAGAAGGAGCAGTTTTTTTTTTCCCAGTTCTGTGCAAAAGGAACAGAGAGCAACAAACGATCATTTGATCCAAACCATGAGAACATGTCTCTGTGAGTAAACGACAGATGTCAGAGGGCAGCAGAGCAAGCCTTAGAAACTAAAGTGCACCAGTGTCCAAACCTTCTGTGGACAAAGATCCCAGTCCAGAATATCACTCACAGTGAGGCTTTGCAGTTCGCAATGAATGAAACATTTAAAACAATTTTTTTTCCTATATTTAAGCGCAGTCTTACCGTTGAAACTGTGTAAAATATTGCATTAAATATTCTTCTTTAGGAATGAAACCTCTGCCTTGTTATTGATGAATACTTCGGCTTACTACGCTACTGTGTGGTGTGGTCATTTGTGGTGGTACTTGGAGAGGCAAGTATTTTCTGAGGGGGTACTTGGTGTGAAAAGTTTGAGAACCACTGCTCTAACAAACACAGCAGGAGAGGGATAAAGATGGGAACCAGCGAGACGGAGCACAGAGAAATACATACAAACACCCTGCAGTTTATCCGCATTTTCCGTCTAAATTAAATCTGTAAGGAGTGCTTCACACATACATTCTTGCCAGACTGAAAGAATAGATAAATGGACTCGGGTTGGGTAAGTAATGCTGGTAAGAAAAATCCTTGACCTACTCAAAAACAGACAAAAAATGTCTGCCTTTGCTGTTCAGTACAGACATGTGCTGTACTTAACTGCCACACGGACATAAACCATGTAGTTGTGTTTTTGTTATACATGAGAGATCTGTATCCGACTGTATCCAAATCCCAGTCATTTATTGATTGACTTAAATAAAGGTAATCCTACCCTATGAACCTTTTTATATTTTGTGACATCACAAACATAAATACTTAATTTTCACTTTATTTAGCAAAAGACCACCACAAAGTGGTTAATAAATCGTATGTAAAAGCAAACTACTACATTATGTATTTTGAAATAACTGCATAGTGGGACTTGATAAAGTATTCAGTCTCATTTTTACCTGAGTGCAACTATAATTTTCTCTAAGAATCCAGTTGAGTGTAATCTTATCTCGGTGATTACAGCTAATCTGTGATGGCCTTAGGTCTAATAAAATATGTTGGTCACTGTAATTGGAATGTTATTTAAGTAATCATTTTGATCATTCCTATATGTGGAATATATAGGAAGGATCCTACATATTATATACAGAAAGTTGTATTGTAATTCACTTTGGCAGGAAGGCTCCAGGAAGTGGGCCCACCACCCTCCTGTGGGCCCACCACCTGCAGAGGGGTCCGTGGTGGCGAGGTGCAGCGAGGACTGGGTAGCAGTTGAAGGCGGAGACCTCGACGACCCAGTCCGCACACCCAACATCTGGCTCTTGGGACGTGGAACGTCACCTCACTGGGGGGAAGGAGCCCGAGCTTGTGGGGGAGGTTGAGCGATACCGACTAGAGATAGTCGGCCTCACCTCCACACACAGCTTGGGCTCTGGAACCCAACTTCTTGAGAGGGGTTGGACGCTCCACTTTTCTGGTGTTTCCCGCGGGGAGAGGCGGCGAGCTGGCGTGGCCATACTCATTGCCCCCCATCTCAGCCGCCAAGTGTTGGAGTTCTCCCCGGTGAATGAGAGGGTCGCGTCCCTCCGCCTCCGGGTGGGGGACAAGTCTCTCACTGTTGTGACGGCCTACGGGCCTAACGGTAGTGCAGAGTACCCGGCCTTCTTGGAGTCCTTGGGAGGGGTACTGGACAGTGCACCGCCCGGGGACTCCGTTATTCTCCTGGGGGACTTCAACGCCCATGTGGGAAATGCCAGTGACACTTGGAGAGGGGTGATAGGGAAGAACGGCCCCCCTGATCTGAACCCGAGCGGTGTTCAGTTGTTGGACTTCTGTGCCAGTCACGGCCTGTCCATCACGAACACCATGTTCGAGCATAAGGGTGTCCATCAGTGCACGTGGCACCAGGACACCCTAGGCCGGAGGTCGATGATCGACTTTGTTGTCGTATCATCTGACCTTCGACCGCGTGTCTCGGACACTCGGGTGAAGAGAGGGGCGGAGCTGTCAACCGATCATCACCTGGTCGTGAGTTGGATCCGCTGGCAGGGCAGGAGGCCAGTCAGACCTGGCAGGCCCAAGCGTGTAGTGAGGGTTTGCTGGGAACGTCTTGCTGAGCCCCCTGTCAGACGGACTTTCAACTCACACCTCCGGGAGAGCTTCTCCCAGGTCCCGGCAGAGAAGGGGGACATCGAGTCCAAGTGGACCATGTTCTCTTCCTCTATCGCCAATGCGGCGGCTCGTAGCTGTGGTCGCAAGGTCTCTGGTGCTGGTCCCGGCGGCAATCCCCGAACCCGGTGGTGGACACCGGCAGTAAGGGATGCCGTCAGGCTGAAGAAGGAGTCCTATCGAGCAATGATGGTTCGTGGGACTCCTGAGGCAGCTGTCCAGTACCGGCAGGCCAAACGTGCCGCGGCCCGGGCTGTTGCAGAGGCAAAAACCCGGGACTGGGAGGAGTTCGGAGAGTCCATGGAGCATGACTATCGGTCGGCCTCGAAGAGGTTCTGGCAAACCGTCCGGCGCCTCAGGAGGGGGAAGCAGTTCTTTGCCAACACCGTGTATGGAGGGCTGCTGACCTCGACTGGGGATATTGTCGGGCGGTGGAAGGAATACTTTGAGGTTCTCCTCAATCCCCCCGTCACGTCCTCCGTCCAGGAGGCAGAGGCTGAGGATGTTGGGGCGGATACTTCCATCTCCCTGGCCGAGGTCACCAAGGTGGTTGGCAGCCTCCATGGTATTAAGGCGCCGGGAGTGGATGAGATCCGTCCTGACTATCTAAAGTCTCTGGATGTTGTAGGACTGTCTTGGCTGACACGTCTCTGCAGCATCGCGTGGCGATCGGGGGCGGTGCCAATGGAGTGGCAGACCGGGGTGGTCTACAAGAAGGGGGACCGGAGGGTGTGTTCCAATTATTGTGGGATCACACTCCTCAGCCTCCCCGGTAAGGTCTACTCCAAGGTACTGGAGAGGAGGCTACGTCCGATGGTCGAATCTCGGATTCAGGAGGAGCAGTGTGGTTTTTGTCCCGGTCGCGGAACACTGGACCAGCTCTATACTCTCCATCGGATACTCGAGGGTTCATGGGAGTTCGCCCAACCTGTCCACATGTGCTTTGTGGATTTGGAGAAGGCGTTCGACCGTGTTCCCCGGGGTGTCCTTTGGGGGGTCCTCCGGGAGTACGGGGTCCGGGGTCCTCTGCTGAGGGCCGTCCGGTCCCTGTATGACTGGAGTCAGAGCTGTGTTCGCATTGCCGGCAGTAAGTCAGACCTGTTCCCGGTGCATGTTGGCCTCCGCCAAGGCTGCCCTTTGTCACCGGTTCTGTTCACTGTATTTATGGACAGAATTTCTAGGCGCAGCCAGGGGCCAGAAGGGGTCCGGTTCGGGAACCACAGGATTTCATCTCTACTTTTTGCGGATGATGTCGTCCTGCTGGCTCCAACGAACCAGGACCTGCAGCATGCACTGGGACGGTTTGCAGCCGAGTGCGAAGCGGCTGGGATGAGAATCAGCACCTCCAAATCCGAGGCCATGGTGCTCGACCGGAAAAAGGTGCCTTGCCCTCTTCAGGTGGGTGGAGAGGTCCTTCCTCAAGTGGAGGAGTTCAAGTATCTCGGGGTCTTGTTCACGAGTGAGGGGAGGATGGAGCGTGAGATTGACAGGCGGATTGGTGCAGCGTGCGCAGTGATGCGGTCGCTGCATCGGACCGTTGTGGTAAAGAGGGAGCTGAGCCGAAAGGTGAAGCTCTCGATTTACCGGTCAATCTTCGTTCCCTCCCTCACCTATGGTCATGAGCTGTGGGTAATGACCGAAAGAACGAGGTCGCGGATACAAGCGGTCGAAATGAGCTTCCTCCGCAGAGTGGCTGGGCGCTCCCTTAGAGATAGGGTGAGGAGCTCGGTCACACGGGAGGAGCTCGGAGTAGAGCCGCTGCTTCTCCACGTCGAGAGGAACCAGTTGAGGTGGCTCGGGCATCTGTTCAGGATGCCTCCTGGACGCCTTCCTGGGGAGGTGTTCCGGGCACGTCCCACCGGGAGGAGGCCCCGGGGAAGACCCAGGACACGCTGGAGAGACTATGTCTCTCAGCTGGCCTGGGAACGCCTTGGGGTCCCCCCGGACGAGCTGGAGGAGGTGTGTGTGGATAGGGAAGTCTGGGCGTCTCTGCTTAGACTGCTGCCCCCGCGACCCGGCAGCGGATAAAGCGGAAGAAAATGGATGGATGGGCTCCAGGAAGTCTGGAAGGGCTACCAGGAGGAAGCAGGCTTTGCGTACATTAATATGGAGTGCCTTTTGTTGTGTTGGTACTTCCTGTCCTATCTGGATTGTGGAGGTGTGGCTTATCTCCTTCAATACTGCCTTACAGCCTATCTGAGGTCAGACATGTTCTGGACAGGAGGCTGAGCTGTGCTCTGTTCTCCATAGAACTTGTCTCCTTGGATGCAACCAAGAATAGAAATGCAGGAACGACTGTGGTGGGAACAGCATTAACAGTCACCAAGGCCCCTCAGTAAGAACCATAGACTGTTCTATATTCTATGACTGTTCTAAGGGCGGCACGTTGGCTGAGTGGATAGCACTCTTGCCTCTCAGCAAGAAGGTCCTGGGTTCGAATCCTGGTCGGACCAGGGTCTTTTTGAGGAGTTTGCATGTTCTCCCCGTGTCTGCGTAGGTTTTCCTACGGGTACTCCGGTTTCCCCTACCACTAAAAATATGTCCAATAGTTCTGGCATGTGCCTCCAGTACTGCCCCGCTCCCATCTCTGTGTGGAGTGAGAGGCAAATGCCCACAATTAACAATTGTAAATCGCTTTGAGACTCAGATCTGCAGTGAAAAGGCGGTATATAAATAAAGATTACTTACTTACTTACTACTGTAAATATTAACGGACATAGTCACGCCCATCTCTGGCGTTCAAACAAATTGGCCAAAAAATGTGCTCTACTGGAGCTATCCAAAATGGCCGCGAGTGGTCCCGCCCACAATTTTTTTTTGAAAAAACACATCCGCGCAAAAACACAAGGGCGACAGTAGCTCAGTTGGTAGAGCATTGGCCTTAAGACCAGAAGGTTGTGGGTTCAATTCCCACCTCTGCACCTTCTCCACCGACTCCCACTGATGACTGCTGTCGTTGTGTCCTTGGGCAAGACACTTAACCCCACTTTGCCCAAAGCCCCCACTGAAAGATCAAGGCTATGCTCACACTCAGAGAGCAGCCGTCCTCCTGTGGACTCACCACCTGCAGAGGGTCAGTAAGGGGCTGGTGCTATGAGACTTGGGTGGCATCTCTGATTGCCACCCCCCTGACCCAGAAATGGATTAAAGGGTAGAAAATGAATGGATGGACATCCGTGCATGCGTCAGCCGGCGCAAGCTCCATTCATTTAAACGAGTTACTTCAAAAATTCACGGCGAGTAAACTAGAGTGGTCCAAAACACACATGTGGAACGGACCTTTGGGCCAAGAGCCAACTTTTGGACCATCCTGTAAAGACTTTTTCAAGAGGTCTGCCAATGTTATATGTTAGCATTGGCAAATTCTTATTCCGGGTCCACCCCCATCGGCCCGGGGTGGTATTGCAAGCATGTCAGCGCACGTCATTTTGGCCACTTTTGAGCCGGGACCCGCCCCCACTGGTAAGGACGCTGTGAGACGCTGCAAAGCAATTCGCAAAAACGACCCCGCTCCGTATTTGAAGTGCAAAGAGTCTACACAGCGACGGAAAACAATGCAGTTCTTGCGCCCGGCCAGAAGTGTGCAGTGGAAGTTTACAAAGTTACAACACGTGTTGTGTAACTAATTTCGCAACAACATCCTCCTCGGGCCGCCATAAAGCCGGGGAAAATATGTGTCACCAGGGGGCGCAATGCCCCAACTAGATCTTTGAAACAAATGGTCCAAGGGGAGTAACTCTATTAAAACAATACACCAGTGGTGAAAAGTTAACAATTTATACAAGATAAAATGTTTAAAATGTACTAAAAGGCTACATTAAAAGTCCAGACAGATTCTGCTGAAAACCATATAGTCCAATACAGGCCCAAGCTGGCACTTGGGGATGGTGGTCTGTTTGCAGGGCACGTCCCGGAGGACTACTGTATGGAGGATCAAACGGAGAGGCAGTCAGTACAGCTGTGTACAAGGGCCTTGTACATAAGAGACGCTCTCAGTACAAATGAATAAAAGGAGGGGGATGGCAAACTCTCCCCCTCTGCTTTTCCACGGCGCGTCCTCTCTCAGCTTCTCCAACGATGGGTACAGTGCCTGGGACAGAGGACAGACTGGCCGTCAATCTCCCAGGTCAGTGGCAGGGAAAGTATACCCCCGTACTGCGCAGGCAAGGCTTTGGTACACACACACAGCACAAAAAGAAAGCCCACACGTAGCCCTGCTCACACAGCGAAATAAAACGGGTTCTTAGCTGGGAGGAGGGGGTTCGTTACACTCCCCCTCCGCGGTTCCCACGACGTGTCCTGCCACTGATCACTTGATGCCCGTATCACAGCGCTCTGTCGTGCCCGAGTGCTGCCTCGATCGATCTGCTGCCATTCTTGTTCACGTTTGTTCTTGGCTTTAGCAGTGGTACTGAAGTGGTGAGGTCATCGCAGCCAGAGAATTCACACCTTTTTCTTCACACGGCTGGGATACAGCTGTTTTGTTCCAATCTGTCGGCCGTTTTTCAAGGATTGCCTTTTCACTCCCTGAAACACCATCAACGTGGGAACGAAAGGCCAATCTGATAGCCAACTCTATCTGTTGGGATGCATTTGGATTTATTAATTCCTCGTCCAGTCAGACTGACTGCTCCTGACTGACCGCCGCTGACCCCCCTTGACCAATCATCTAGTGTGACCTGGAAGTGACATCACGGCTAGGTATATAGTGTTGAGCGAGCTGACTGAGAGCTCTTTCTGTCTGATGATTCCACCCAGCAACATGATATAGCTAGGAAGCCTTCTTGGGCTTCCGCTCTCTCTCTCCAAACCAAACCATCTCTCTCCTGGTATGATTTTTCTTTCTGTTATGGTTGTATGTACTTTTAAGTGTCATTAAATGTCCTCTTTTATATTCCACATGGTTTGGGCCTGGTATCTGTATGGTAACTATTATTACATGAGACATTATTATATTTTCATGAATACACACATTACTGTTGCAGCATCATGAAGTCCTAGAAACCCCCCGGAGAGGAGTGTTGGGGAGACATTTTGTATATCTAATCTTTGTTTGAATTTAGGGGTGACAGTGGCTCAGTTGGTAGAGCACTGGCCTTTGGGCCTGAAGTTTGTGGGTTCGAGCCCACCACAAGACCTACTTCACAACTCCCACTAATGACTGCTGTCGTTGTGTCCGTGGGCAAGACACTTAACCCCAATTTGCCTGAAGCCCCCGCTGAAAGATCAAGGCTCCTGTGGACTCACCACCTGCAGGAGGATCAGTGAGGGGCTGGTGCTCTGTGTACTGACCCAGAAATGGATTAAGGGGAAGATAATGGATGGATGTTTGAATTTACAGTTGTTAGATAAAGTCACATACTCCAGCGACAAAATTCTAAAAAGATTTCTTGAGGTTATCAACATTTCCCACTCTATCATGCATCATCTGGAAATGGAAAGAGTATTGAAAATCTACCGAGACACAGCAGCATGTATGCCCAAACTAACAGCACAAACCAGGGCTGCACTGATGCAGACAAAAAGCCAATAGAAACAGTAATGGAGCTGCAAGGAGTTGTATACTTATGAAGGTAAATGCTTCATTTTCACTGTACATTTGTCTACCACTTCGGTGGTCGCTCTCTAGACAAAATATGGAAAGGTCCATGCGGTATGAATACTTTTATGAATACTTTGCCAAGCTAGAGGTTTCATGATTTAGAAAGAAACACTCCTATTTTGTGGTAGAAGTGGGAAATAACCTGCTTGAATAAAAACATTTGATCTAATTGAAAACACATTAAGTATGAGTCGAGTATTTAGAAAGGACAGGGGGATGTGTTTGAGAAGTTGTGTCGTAAGAATCTGACATTAGCCTAGCCTGAGCTAAAACAAGACCGGACTAATTGGCATAATACAATGAAAGAATAACCTCCTCCTCATCCCCTATCCATCAAATAGTGAAATTCATGGACAAGAGCTGTGATTGGCCTTTCTCTATATGATGCCATCACCTGAACCCATCCCTGTACAGACACTATCACACAGTGCAGCTCCATATAAAGGTTTTTTGTGTGATGTCTTTCGCTGGAGGAGGATGGAGACGGAGGCAGAGGAGGAGTTGTGTTTCCCACTGCTGAACAGCTCATGCAGGAGGCCCAACACTCACTCCCAGACCCACACGGCCATCATCCACACGCTGCTGTATCTGGCCGCTCTCATCACCACCGTGCTCAACCTGCTCGTCATCATCGCCATCGCACACTTCAGGCACGCAGCTCTTGGCAAAAACCCAAAATCTAATTCTATATTATAGTCTTACAATTCAAAAGAACAGGACATATTGTGAAAAGAGTAGTGCATTCTCAAAAAGTTCTTAAAACACAAATTTGAAAAAAAAAAGGATATGTATTTTTTTCCTTATCCGTATCCGTATTCAACAAAAATTAAACTATCACACACAAAAATGCAAAAAGTAATACATTCTCTTATTAAAGCTGGGGAACCTAATTAATATCTTCAAATGTATAAAAGTCATCTAGTTCCTGGATCTAAAAAAGAAAAAAATTGGTTGAACTAGTTTTTTCCAGAGATCACTTAAATGCAGTAGAGCTCCTCAAAGGACATTTAAACATGAATAGCAGTTTACTATACATGACTTGCGGATGAATTGTGCTATATTTAACGCCTCAGCTAAATATTTGATTTGGATGAACTGCAAATATCCTGTCGATGCAATAAGATGATAGTTATATTTGAAATACTTATAACTTGAATTAGAGCAAAATGTCAAAATATTTGACTGAATTGATGATGGCTGTTTAGTCACGGTCTGGGATTTTCCACATTCTCCATGTTGAAGCTGTGTTTGCTAGTTTAAACTGTATGAGCATCTATCTGCAGTATTGTTACTACTAGCGTGTAATATAGCACACTAAAAGGTAATAATATATGTGATGAAAGCTCATGAGTTTCTCTAAATCTTTAACTACATCGTTGAGTTTATATTTTACCTGTGATTGAAAAAGCTCATTGAGGAAAAGTACAACATATTACATACATAATATATTATCATTATCATAATTTGTAATTCATTTACTATATTTACTTTTTAAGTAGTGTACACTGTAAACCCTAACTTCAATCGTACTTCAGATATCAAAGTTATTTCAAATAGATTTTTCCCAGTAAGCAAATATTACTCATTTATTGTTAGTTTATTTAAAGCTTACCTATATCACTCAGGGTTTTCTTTGAATTGAACTGCCTCACTTTTGACATTTTGACGTGTAGAGTCTTTAATAAAATAGGGGTATCAACAACAGGGTGGCTCAGTGGCTGAATGGGTTGCACCATTCCCTCTCAACTACAGGATTTTGAGTACGAATCCCGGTTGGAGCATAGGCTGAAATTTAAACTTTATTGCAATCACTGAGTTAACTTGGCAATATCAAGTAAAGGATGTACTTGAAGAATTCAAGTGAAGTTAATATGCAATTTATTTCCATGGTTTTTTCAAGTAAACTTTACTTGTCAGGGTTTACAGTGTAACACATTTCTTTTAAAATACTTGCAATAGATAACAGCTAATTACAAAATACTTTTTTGCAAAACTATCTCACACAGTTATATGTTGGTTTGACCTCAATTTACTGCACTGGTTCAATTCACAGCTTCAACACGTAGCATGTGTAAAAGTCCAGGCAAAGATGCAGTGATTATAAACACCATCAGCAGCAGTTCCAGATTTGTGGAGAATTTAGCCTTATTTACATAAAACATAAAAGCCCATATGATTTTTATTTATGTTCTAATACAAAATAGAGTGATCCCAAAGTTCTGAAATTTCCAAACTGACTTTGCACCAATGTTTTATTGTCTTCATTTTATTGTTTTACTGTTTTCAATATTTTTTTCATAGTTTATTTTAGACATGTTTGAAATAACATTCGTACTTACTCATATGAACCAACTTGGACTCGGACGAGACTCTGAGGGCACAGGGACTTTGCTCCTAGTGCCTAGAATCAGGACATGGGGAGACTGCATTTCAGATTTGTGCAACTAAAATCTGGACCAGTCTTACTAAAATTGTGAGACAGGCTTCTGCTCTGACAATGTTCAAATCCAGGTGTCAATGATCTCAAAGTTTCTTTTCTTGTTTAGTCACTTTGAGTTGCCTTGTGTATGAACTCGAACCATTATTTCTTTATGCACTAATCTTACTTTACTAATTGCCCAAATGCCTCCAGTGTGATTCCAATGTTGTACCATGCTGCTTTATCTCACATTCTCCGATTGCTTTTCATACAGGCAGCTCCACTCAACTCCACACAACTTCATCCTTCTCTCTCTGGCCGTGTCGGACTTCTTCGTGGGGTTGGTGGTCATTCCCGTGGAGAGCTTCATGTCCCGAACGTGCTGGGTCCTGGGCGACCTCTTGTGCGTGGTCTACTTTGTGCTTCCAATCACCTTGGTGTCCGCATCCGTCGGCAACATGGTCCTCATCTCTGTAGACCGCTATGTAGCCATTTGTGACTCAATGCGCTACCAAACCAGAATGAGCGTCCGAATCGTCTGCACGGGGATAGGCGTGTGCTGGCTCGGCTCGCTGTTCTACACCCTCTGTCTGATGTACGAAAACTTGGTCGAACCGGGAAGGGATCACTCTTGCCGCGGCGAGTGCCTTATCAACGTATCCGGAGAGGCCGATTTAGTTATCGTCTTCATCATCCCGGTAACCGTGGTCGTGGTGCTGTACTTGCGAGTTTTTGTCGCCGCCGTTACGCAAGCCAGAGCAATGCGCAGCCATGTCGCCACTCAGCAGAATACTGTGACGGCGCAGAAATCAGAAATCAAAGCGGCAAGAAATTTGGGTGTGGTGGTGATAGTTTTCCTCATCTGCTATTCGCCATACTATTGCATGTCTCTAAGTGGGGGGAACCTCGTGATCGGGTCGCCCACGGAGATGCTTATGAGTTTTTGGATGTATTTCAACTCCACCTTGAACCCTGTTATCTACGCTTTGTTTTATCCCTGGTTCCGGAAGGCTATCAAACTTATTGTGACTCTGCAGATTTTGAAGCCAGGGTCGTGCGATACAAATATTGTGTAGTATTCATCATGTTACATAGAGTAAAAATGACCAGCCACAGTCATTGAATGTACACAGTTACAGACACTAATTTAGGGTCAAAAAGTGTCTGACCCAGGGCTGGTCAAGTTAGAAAAAACCCCATCAAAATTCAGCTTTGAAAACAGTTATTTTGTACCTTATTTTGTAGTAAATTACATTTTGGTTTTGGCTCTCCCGTTGTGCTACCCTTGAGTCAAATTAACCCAACACAGTGATTAAAAAATGCCCTATATAACAAAAAATGGCAAGCTGAATTTTGAGGCCTTCTCATAATTTGACCAGTCCTGGATTATTTATACCCTAATTTAGGGTATTTTCCTTCTACCCTTAATCGTCTGTGGGGGATCATTTTGACCCAAGGGTAGCACAGACATACTGTAGGTCTATAACAAAATTCATGTACAAAAAGACAGCACCTCACATTTGTTTAAATGAAAGCAGAAACTGAAATAACTACTGTAGTCATTCATTATAGTTTGTACAGTATATATCTACCATGTTTTATATAGTTTATGTACTTTTGCTGTTTTTATTTGTTGTATTGTATTCTAATATGTTGCACTTTGAGGTTTCCATGTAAGACGCAATATGAAAAATATGTATTATTTTCATTATTATTATTATCTAAACCCTAGCAGGTGGTTTACATTTGTAATCAGTGGAACTTAGCAGGGATATACATGAATAAATAATAAATGTATTGTCTAGTAAATTGATTGTTTTTTTGGAATGTATTTGTTTAATCTGTAATTAATGTATAATTGTATCGTGGTTCATTCTGTTTGGAGAAGGAAGAAATGTGTTCTCTCTATTTGAAGAGTAGAATAAAGTAGAATAACCAAGAGCAAGAAAGACCAAAATTATGTATGGATAAACGTAACAGCTCAAGGGTTCTTGGACATGCACCTCACTATGCCTAAAGAATAGTTGGTAAGGCAAGGCAAGATTATTTATATAGCACACACAGTTCATACACAAGGCAGCTCAAAGTGCTCAATAAAACAAGAATAGAAACAATCATACAAAGCATTAAAATCATAAATAATTGCAGTACTTTCACAGAGTCAGTTATTTATGCATTAAAAAAAATCTTTCTCCGGTCATGTCATCTGTTTTGTATTGAAATAATATAGATTGTGATTTTCTCCGTATATATATTCATAAAATCGAAATCCTTTTAACACATGTGAGACTAGACTACTGCACTGTAAGTTGCAGTACTGACATTGTCCAGTAGAGTTTGCTGTAGGGGTTAGAGTCGCTTGGACCAAGCTGCAGACACTTCAAAATGCTCTCCATGTGAGTTTTGTCCATGGGGTTGTGTCAAGTAAGTACTCGTAAGACAATCCTCAAAAATAACTTATAAGACAGAATTCTGCTGTTAGGGGACTAACATGTTGCACTTATTTTTAGTTAAACCGAGGAATGACTTGCAACATTGCAACTGATAGCTTCATGATAACATTGTTAGCTTGAGTCTAAAGTTGTGATAAAGCTAAAAAAAAAAATCCATAATCACAGTGATGAATAATACTGAAGAAATAATCAGGAGATACATGATTGCATTAATTCTACTTGTATTGCATGTTGTTATTCCTTATATCAAGCTAGACTGCTGCTATCATAATTACTCACAGCCATGTGGGTTTTCCTCAGTTTTCAAATGTTTGTTTAGAAAGGGTATTAGCAGTGTGTCAAATACTTCTTTGAACATTGAATACTTATTATACACCTATTACAACTTGAATACGCTTATTAGTTGTATTTATATGATTCGACAACCTCTATGAATGAAATACTACATTGATAAGAAAATAAAGGGGTTCTTATGATAACAGGAAAACAATATTTATTTTCGGCTCCTTCTCTGTAGATTAAATTGAAAGTGATCTTCAAAATTTGATGGCGATCCCTGCCCAAGGAGGTGTGGTCAGCCAGAAGCATCCTCAGCAGCAGAACCTCCACTGAACGTTCAAGCTGGATCCAGATAAGACAGATAAGATACAAACACACTACATTACTTGGCTACAGTCTCAATGGCTTGAGACTCAATCAATGGCTTGGGTTCAGGGGCGCATGAAGGCACCATGGACACCGATAGATTAGCAGAACTCGCCCAATTTTGGGCATGCGTCTGGTCCCTTCGGTTCTGCGCAGTGAACAACCTCCCATAATGCTTTGTGCACAGCGGAGCACAGAAGTGTTTTGACTGTCTATGGTTCTGACCAATTAGGCGCTGCTGATCAGAGCGGAGCCACAGCGGGAAGAAAACAATCAGAGTTTGTTGCAATAAAATGCGGTTTTATATTTAACTATAACAAAAATTCAGGATGACAAGGGACACTAAAATTCCCACAAATCTGATTTTTAGGAAAGCTCTAGGTCACATGTGTCAAAGTCAAGGCCCGCGGGCCAAATCCGGCCCGCGAATGAATTATCTATGGCCCCCGGGACATTGCCTGCCATTGAGGCAATGCATTGACCCTTTAAGCTCGCTAGCCCCCGCCGGCGGGAGCAAACGAGGAAAAAAATACATCTGCTGGCAATAGCAGATGTATTTTGAACTTCATAAGCCACAAGCTATATATCATTTTAAAGCTTATTTTCTCAGCTATATTTATATGTAAGTGTAAACAATATCAGACCTTGCATTAAAAAGATATAACGCATAATATGAGCACAAAATAAATCACGTCTGTATTCGTTTTTTACCTTTCGTCTTCTGCTGCTCCAACAAATTAGACTTTCCCCATCCTTGCTTAGTCTCTTTCTCTCCGTAACTGTTCATTGAAGAAGAATATCCAGTTGTATTTCCCAAAGTATAATCCATTCTGCAGATTTAATCAAAAAACGCCCCGAAAAGAGGTCCAGACTGCTCTTTTCCATTTCACCAAGTTTGAGGTTTTTTTTTTTTTTTTACTATTTTCATGTTCTCAGATGTCTATTACATCTCATATGTACAGGATGAGGATTGGCTTTAGAGCATATTTTATCGAGCCAACAGGTGTCACCGGCACTGCCTCTGGATGTTGAGAAACATTGAACCAGTCCGGCCCTCGGCGCGTAGCAAACATTTTTTTTTGGCCCTCTGATGTATTTGACTTTGACATGCCTGCTCTAGGTTCTTTGTCAGGTTCATCCATGTCAGAATATAAAGAAATCACACATGCATGAATTACTCTATAAACAGCTTTGAGTGTGTAAATGACAAGAGGAAACAATTATAACTGTTTTTTAATATTATTGTAATTTTTTATTGCAGTTACGTTCTCTAATTATACATTTGGATAAAACTTAAACCAAGCTTTTCTTCACACAGCTACTAGGCTAACTTCCGAAATTAGAACTTTCTTGTTTACTTCTTATTAAAATATTTAAAAAGTTTTGATTTTTTTACTTGAGGTTTCCAAGACACATACGCGTACTGTTATAAAACACAGCATCTTTGGGTGAAGCAGTCGCACCGTGCACAAACTTTGTTCTCTGACCTCGCTTGTCATCATCCTGCTGTAACTCACTGTTTGTTGTGTTTAAATATTTCCTTACATTTTGTCTCCTGAACTTGAACTTATCTATAGGGCTGTTATTATGGACACGAATTGCTCAATGGTGTCCTTGTCGATGATATAGATTTCAATGAGAAAACAGACAAAATTAGAATATACAGAAGGTTTGGTATTTTCACATTGTTCGCAGTTCTTTTGTGCAGACTTAGGCCAAATACAGACTAGCTATTAAAACAAATTAGATACAATATTGCAGATTGGATACAACATTTTATTTATTTGGATTTTTGTTCCAGATTAAAAACAAATGTGATCTATATATATATATATATATATATATATATATATTATACATAATTCCAAGCGATGGTAACATCCGCAAAAAAGAACATGAAAAGCTTGAGAAATACCAACGTCTCAGAGAGGAGCTGGAGAGGGCCTGGAGGGTAAAGGTGACAGTAGTGCCCGTGGTGATTGGTGTACTTGGGGCAGTGACCCCGAAGCTAGAAGAGTGGTTACAGCGGATCCCCGGAACAACCTTGGACATCTCGGTCCAGAAATGTGCAGAACAGCAAAGATACTGCGCAGAACCCTCAAGCTCCCAGGCCTCTGGTAGAGGACCCAAGCTTAGAGAGGGATAACTCGCCCGCGGAGGGCCAAAGGTGAGTGGACAATTTTTTGTATTTATTTATATATATATATATATGATATTTTAATGTCATATATTAAATACAAATGCATCAATAGTGTAGAAATGCGAGCTAATATGCGAGCATTTTTACTGCATTGTATCATCTTTAGAAATAGATCATACTGTATCAAATTGAAAGTCCCCTGTGTCTAGATATGTATCTTATCGGCAGGCTCTGGAAGATACCCAGTCTCAATTATGAAGTATGCTACATGTGTTCTCCATGATTGGCTGCAGTTATAATACTACAATTTAAGTGTTCCATTATTGTTTGTGCAAAGCAAGCTCTCTGACCCAAAGAGGCTGATTACCGCTAGTGAAGAGTGAAAAAGACAAAAACTCAAAAACTTTTCTGACTTAGCCCAATCTAACTTCAGTTTTTTGCACCCGGTCTAGGGAGTGCAGAAGCCCCTCACATCCAGTCATTTTAAGGACCGAACTTAAAAACCCTGATGAGGAAACTCCTTGTATAGACTCAGGGATAATCCCATTAAAAATCTTTTCTGCGGTGCTTATGTCTTTATTAAGTTGGCCCAAGAGGCAGATATATTTACACAGCATGTCATTGAGGCGGAGGGGACTGTTTGTTTTTGGAAAGCCCTCTTTCACTCAGCTGAACGATAATCCAACTGGAAACCGCAGCTATTTTTAGTCGGCCTTTCCGCTCCCCAATCCGCTCCTCTCCCAGTGCCCAAACTCCTCTCTGCAGACGGCGGGAAACGTGCAGCAGGTATCGTGTTCAAACGCTTTGCTTTGTTTGTGTTTTAGATGTATATATATTG